TTCTCTCCCCCCACTCTCTGGTTTCAATCCCGACATTGCATTGTGATACTTTTTCTAAGTATCACCTGTCTCAACTTTGTGTAAACATGACAAAATAAAACAACTAGCCACAATGTTGAGCAATAGAGAGGAAGGAGTAGGCAGGAGAAGGGAGGAGCCAGAGGACAGGAAAGAGTGGGAGGAAAAGGGCAAGAGATCTGGGAGAACAGAGGCAGGAGAAAAGATCAGATGCACTGGACCTAATATATCACTAAAAGCAAGTATAATGTGGGAAATCTAAATGTTAGGAAACTATGAGGGCTTGGAGGTTTAGGATGGAGTAACTATTGCCCAGCATTGTGTTCCAAGTTAAGTAAATAAATCATAGTCTCTGTGTGGTAATTTGGTTATACAGCTGTTTAGGATTTACAACAGCTTTACTAGAAGATATATCAATAGTAAATATTAATAGTCACCTACAACATTTTACCCCCAGATTTGGCCTCCAGAATGGTGACTTAGTAAATTTCTGTTATTTAACCTACCCTAACATTAATGTATGGCAGTTAGGAACTCATTCGGAATGCTTCCCAACTGACAAACACTGACAAAACAAATTATTGTGTCATCATTGTGTGTTGTGAATATGTGTGTATATGTACAAATATGTCATTTTTCAGGTGCCACCCACCTTGTTTTATGAGACAGGGTCTCTTACTCGCTTGGATAACCAAGCAGGCTACACTGGCTGGCCAGTGAACCTCAAGGATGCTCATCTGTCTTTGACTCCTTACTACTGGGATTTAAATAGATGTCACAGCCTGAACAGTTTTTCTTTGTGGGTTCTGAAAATTGAACTCAGGTCATCACATTTGCACAGAAAGCACTTTACCAACTGAGTTATTTCCCTGGCCTTTAATGGACAGTAGCTTGTGTGAATTATCTTATTGAACTCCCTCTATTTCTAGCAAGAATGGTTCCTATACCCTTATACAAATTAGGAAATTGAGATGTAGAGCAAGTAGGCAATTTGGCTGAGCTTTCCAAGAGGCATAAACTGAGGAAATGGGATTTAAGTTTAGACCTTTGAGCTATAGAATTTGCATGCTGACCTAATCAGAGAGCAGAATAAGGCCAAAACAACGTAAGTGTTTGCTTGTCAAACAAAGACAAAAAGACTTCAGAAAAATAGAAGGCTTGTGGAGGAAGTATCAGACCACAAAGTTCACCAAGGCTTTGCTTGTAGATTTAGTCAAATGCCATTTGATAGAAAATCCAGAAGCCACTTCAAATATGAGACTGGACTTACTACCTAGTGTAGTGGCTTATGGGAGACAATTCTAAAAGTGAATAGTTCTCTTTCTACTTTTATCCCTGTGAAATAGAAGCAGCAGTGATCAAGCCAAGCCAAAAACCTTCATTACAGAGTTGAGCTCTTTAGAGTGAAGTTCTTCTTGGCTCTGCTGTCAAAGTTTCTGCTAACATGAAAAAACATGTCAGTGGTTTCTGCAGAACCTCATCTGAATAAACAAGCTGCCAGTTACCAGAGTGCAAGTATACCACGCTTGGCTCTGGTGCTGATGAAACACAAGATGAGAGCGCCCTGATTCTGGAGTTTTGTTGCTTTCTCTCCTGTCCTGTGCCTGCTGAGATAATATAACCCAGTGTTAGATGCACATCCCTTGGGCTTCCTTGGGGACCGATGGGGTGGTGTAGCCTGGAAGAGTTTGTCTCAGACTTATCCAGAGCAATCCCTAAGCACAAACCCCTTTACCCTCTCCTCTGTGTATATAGTAAAATCATCTAGAAGAAATGTGATGTGAATGGAGGGCAATAATAATACTAGCAGCTACTTTTAAAACATTTTAAAATTGTGTGTGTTGGTGCACATGTGTGAGTGCATGTAAAAGCCAGAGGCTGAGAGCAGGCCATTCCTCAGTTGCTCTCCTCTAATTCTGAAGACAACATCTCTCAGCAAACCTGGAGCTTGAAGATTCATCGAGGATGGTTAATGAGCACCAGGGATAGTCCTGTCTCTGTCTCCCCAGTGCTGGGATTATGGACACATGGTGCCACCATGCCTTTCCTTTTTAAACCTGGGTTATGGGTAACTGAACTCAGGTCCTCATGCTTACATGGCAAATACTATTGGCCAAGCCACCTTCTTAGCCCAGAAGATGCTATCTACTGAACACCCAGAATCATAGTTCACTCACCTAACACCTTTTGGAATAAACACTCTTTCAATGCCATTTTATAGATGAAGCAAGCAGTAGAGTCTGGATGAAATTCTGGTCTCTCAGATATAGCAAGCCCAAGCCCTGTAACTCCATCCCATACCACCAACTATGGAGTCTGAATATCTAGGTGTTTGCAACATTAAAGTAGCAGGTTATCTTTGCAGGATATATGATCCCATTGTGAACCCCGAGATTCTGAACTGTAAAAACCTGTTTCTTGTTTGGTGTGGTTCAGCCCTAAGACATGCCTTTAATCCAAGAACTTTCTGTTTATTGTAAACAGGTGATTATGGTGTGGCTCAAGCCTTAGCAAACAACTTTAATCCAAGAGGTTTCTGTACACAGAATTTAATAACATTAACCCTGGTCAAAAGGTGGAGCAAGAAATCAGCTGACAGGGATTAAACAGAAAGGAGGAACTTTGAGTTGAAGGGTATTTAAGACAGCATGGAGAAGAAAAAAGTTTTTGGCTTTTTCCTTCTGGGATGTGAACTGAGTAGGAAGGTCAGCTGGGTGCTTTCTCTGCCTCTCTGAGCTAGCAAATTTTCATCCCAGCACCTGGCTCCTGAGTCTTCATTGTGAAATCAAATGATTTGAGATTTTCTTTCTTTACAACGAGTTATAGTTGAATAGATATTTTCATTTGCCACAGCTGCCATAGCAAAGCATAAACTAATAAAATCTGTGCCTCAATGTGCAGGGCATGAAGAGAGCCCTGGAGCTTAAGTCCTGATGTGACTCAAGACCTCAGTTTCTTTCTCAACATGTAGTTTGTGGGCCAGCTGCTCTGCTCGGGAGCTTGTTAGAAAAGCAGACCTTTCCCTTACCCCAGCCACTGAAACTGAGCCCAAGATGCCAAAGTGGGCCAGGTTCCTAAAGGTGGGAGAAGCTTGGCACTATCTATGTCTCCCTTTTTCAGTGTATCTACACTAACAAAGCTTGTCTCTAGAAAGATGAGCAAACTTCTTTACCGCTGCACCACCAAGACACCTGAAACCAGGCCTGACTACTATTTAGCTCAAGGAATTCCTTTACATAGTGGTACAAGAGCCCCACTTGTTGTGGCTTGAGGTTCCCAGTGCTCAAACTTTCTTGCTTGTCACCATCTCCAGAGATCTAGGCAGATCTTGGCCAGAGTTTGATGTCCCAGGAGAGGTGGAGGAGCATCTCCAGACTCTCCTGCAGCTTGTTGGTCTGGGAGGCTGGCTAGGGTAGTGGGCTTTTTAGATTGATAAAAGTCCCCCAAATAGTACCATAGTCTCCACAAAGTTAGGGAAGATTCCCACTATCTCTGATGAGGTTCATGTCTCTAGGTTGGAGGGTTTCCTCTCCTTGGTTCCTCCATATTTTCTCATAAGTCTTCACACATGATCAGCAACATGTTCCTGTTGATTGGTTCCTCAGCATTGTAGCTCAGCTGCCACTCCTCAGGGTATCCAGGCACTGGGCTGGACTGAAGGGAGAGAAGCTTAAGCAAGGGTAAGTGGGTGGGTTGGTGGAAGTCAGGATCTCAGTTTGCATGAGTGCAGGAGAAACAACTTTCTCTGGAGACAGTTTTCAGTGAAACAGCTCTTTTTTGTAAGGGCAGGAACAAAGGCTATATAAACCTTAGGGACTGGGTAAGGGTTTTTCAGGGTGACTGTACATCATTGGTTGGGGCCAAGGTGCTGGAAATGCTTCATTTGCATGAAAAGGAATTCCAGGTGTTTGCTGGACATGTCCTTTTAGAGACAGAAAAAGTTTAACCTGAAACCTGGCCACCAGACTATGTGACTACCTCAAGGGTTGCAGAGGTTTAGGTCACAAGGATATATGCAGGCCCAGATCAGAGAGGAAGTAGTCCTAATCCTGCCAGTCTCAGGATGAGAGTTTTAGGATTTGGACATGTCTCAACCTCACTCTTACTTTGGATCAACTCCCTTGGTTGCTCTGAACCTGGACGCATGGCTTTCTGGTCCCACACTCGGCAATTTTTCTCTTGTTCCAAGAAAACCCCTTTTTCAGTTATAGATGAACTTCCCATCCCATCCCATGTGTAGCTCAGCAGGAGCTACACAGAGTTTTTAATCTTAATAATTCTTTCTTCCGTTAGAAAGGTGTCTGTTTACAGAGCCAGGGAACTAAAGTCTTCCATGGGTGATATGGACCCCAGAGTTCATGCTGGGAGACAAGAACCTCAAATATCCACTCCCTTCTGTGCACTTCTCTTCTACCAAATGCTTACTGTGAAAACCCCTAGTTCTGACACAGGGTATGTGAACAAATGTGAGGTCTGCCACCATTCTCACTCCATTTCAAAAAGGATCCAGAGATAGCCAGAAGACCAGGTCCTCCAGGGCACAGGTTTGCATGCTGGGAATCCCATGTCCTTAGAATGCTTCAGGAGTAACTTGGTGTAGCTCTGACAGATAAAGGCCCACAGCAGCTCGCTCAAGATCACATAGTACTGGGGTCTAAACCATACATGAAAGCTGAACAGTGCTCTCCACAGAGTCTGCCTCTTATATAAGAGGCTCATCAGACAGCAAGCACAGGCGTCTCCTGGCATTCTGGCCCTTGTCAACTTTGTCCCCATGGCTAGAACCTGCTGGGGTTGGGGTAAAAACCAGATGGCCTGTTAGGAGTTATGCTGGCCTCCTTATGTACTGGGTGGAGTGGAACTGGCTTGAGAAAAGGTTAACTGAGAGGTCACAGCAGTCAGGGCCTCTTTCAGGCAGTTGTCACACAGACACAGAGGCCAGTGCCTCCACAGAAGGAAAGAATTGCAATGTATGTTCATGAAGGAATTTATTTCTCTTTATGAAACAACAGTGGTCGTGGCTAGATATAGTGGCACTGTGACACAGTGAACAGAACACAAGAGGTTCAGAGCAGCACAACAGAAGCTGTTATCATTGACAATAACCTCCAAGATGGAACCATGTTCATTCATTACTGCTAAAATCTCCCTGAAAAAAAAAAAAGGAAACTTTGGATAATAGAATTATAATAATGCCAGTAACCACAATGCCCTTCCAATGGAGAACATTTACTTGCAATCTATTATGGAATGATGTATCAATAAACTGGAAAAATGCCCAGCATCTTATTTTGGGGTGAAGGATATTTCTTTCCTAGGGTGAGCTAGCTTGTCACATGTTAAATCATTGTCCTGAGTCAAGACTTCAGTTTGGATCAGAGGAGGCAACTCATGTGCCTATATGGGATCTGGCCTACATACCTGTCAGCTTCAATAGCCGAGTGGCTGGTTGTACAAACAGGTACAGAAGGTGGAAGAAGATACTTTATACCACCTTTCCATAGCAAAATCCAAGAAGTTAGAAGGTCTTATCTCAGGATATTGGGTTATGAAGATGGGAGACACTTGGAAGGGGATAAGAATACAGCCAGAAAAGCAAGCACACAGTATCCCAAGAGAAGAGCCCAGTGTTGTTTGGATCAGCCTTTTCTCTTCCTCTCTTGGGACCTCTAGTTGTCCAAGAAGGGGCCACCATTCCCTTTGTGAAGTCTTAGAATGCCAAGGTCCAGGAGGCTGCATTACCTGCTCTATGTTGAGGTTAATAGCTCAGTGAATTTTCTGGAAAGTAGAGCCAGCCTTTCAAGAAAGTTCATTGTCCAGAAGAAAATGATGGATTTCAATAGTGGGTCTAAGTTCCTTGGAAAAGTATGAAAACTTCCTGACCTTAGTTTTCTCAGGGGTAGGCTCCAATCTTGTGCTCCTAGTGCAAAGATGCATCACGCACATGTCCCCATGCACGTGAACTCATCAAAAACATCATGGGGCAGTAACTTTGAGGCATGCTTGCCATTGAGGCTACCTGGCTGTGTTTGTATGGCAAACCTCTTGCTGCCCCTCCAAAAGAACAACACCTTTCAGAGACCAGCCCTGTGGTTTCAGCCAGACTCAGGCCCTAGGCAGGTGAGTGAACCTGGGGCCTTGTGGTTCAGGCTCAAGAAAGGGCAGAGGCTAGACACCATCTTCCTGGAAGGTGGGGTTAGGCCTTCTTGATATTCTGGAGTGATATTCAGAGTCTCACACACACAAAGGGTGATAATAGCAGAGAGCACACTATTCACTTCGGACAGAGGCCTATCTCCCAAACAACAAAAGCAGAAAAACTTCTCACTTCCAGTCAGTGAACATTTGGTGAGAAAAATACAACACTTGAAGAAAGTGTCTTCTACAAAGAGCTCAAATGCACAACAGAGTATCATCTGTTCGCTGTCCACATACACTTACTCCCGGAGAGGTGAATGGACAGAGGGCTTGTGTCATTAGACAAAACAAACAAACAAACAAACGGCAAAACAAACAAAACATCTAAAATGCAGCTATAGAAACAAAGGCAGGAGGAAAAGTCAGTCAGGGAGGAGAACCAGTTTTCAGCCACTGGTTGGTCTCTTGTTATAAAACCATGAGTGGGCCAAAACAAACTAAAAGACTGAATCATGTGACTACCCTAACCCCCACAGGCACTCAGTTACATTTCTGTGCATAGGCCTTTCAGGACCTCATGATGGGAATACATGGTAGCCAGACTTCCATTCTCTTTTTAGCTTTCTAGGAATTCTCTGCTACAAATGAACATTGCCTTGACATCGAGGCCTAAGGAGAAACTTCTTCCTAAGAGTTACCCACTAGACAAGGGTTAATGGCTGTGGGTGGTGAAACAGAAACAAACCTGTGAGAAGGAGGCAGGGGTTGTCTGTGCTGGGGCTGAAGACCAGCCCAGGAGGATGACAATTCTTCTTTTCCTCAAGGAAGAAGAGTCAGCAAGAGCTTGATGCCCTGGAAGTACTGAGTGTCCTGCTCCCCAATAGAACCTAGATATGGTTGTTTGTATTTGCTTCATGTTCACCCCAAGAAAAGTTCAGAGGCAGCCTTGGGGCCAGGCTTGAAGTTAATCCTGCTCCATGGAAAACAGCCTGGCTGTTTTCTTTCTCATGATTAAATGATTTCAGGATAATCAGCCCCAAAGTCCAGGTTCTTTTCCAGCAGTGAACTCTGGAAGAGCTTGGGATCAAAGATATGAGACTGACATGTTTGGGATTCTCCTGCTGACAGGCTTAAGTCTCAAAGTTGTCATGTCCCTCAGAAAAACATGGCATTTAGGCCATACCCATAGGGGGATGGTTCTCACACAACAGGGTACCAGAAGGGTGTGGGTAGCTTAGTAAAGACACAGACTCCATGGTAGTATGCACTTGTGATCCTAGAACTCCAGAGGTTGAGGCAGGAGGGTTTTGAGTTTGATACTATCTGTACTATAAAATAAGATCACCAAGTAGTAGGCTTGGAGTGTGGCCCAGGAGTTTGCATTTTAACAGGAGCTGATTCAGGTAGCACCTGGTTCATCTTGCAAGAAATCCCAGTACTTGGTGGTGGCTGAAACCAGTTTTGAGGCAGAGTCATACTCAGAGCCTCAGCCTCCCAGGGAGTAGTGAGATTAGCTGCTTACCCTGTCCTGGCAGGAAGGTGAGGGCAAATCTGTACCTTGTCACCTCCTGGGACTTCAGGGGCTGAGCAGCAACTTCCTAGAGTTGTAAAGGTGAGTCCACCAAGTCTTATAGGAATGACTTGTGCCTGTCTTTGAGATGCCCAGAACAAGCCTCTGGCCCAGCTCTCCTGGGGAAGTGACAATGAGATTGTCTTGCACTTCACTAGTACGTGGGATTCCTCTCAGGCATCCCACTTTCCTGGAGAGATGACTTTCTTCACGTCACATGAGCCAACAAGTATGTGGGGCCATATGAAGGTGTCATGATCTGTGACCACTTTATTGACCAGCCAAGGTCTAAACAGGCTTGGAGACAGTCACTCAGGATGGACCCCAATTCAATTTCTCCGTAGTCCCATGGTTGGGAACACTTGGGTTTTCATGACTGGTCATTACCATCAGTACAAACTCCTAAAAGTAATACACAACAGACATCCCCGAACCCAACAGAAACCTCTTGAAAACCACTGGCTTTAGCAGCCAAGATCTCTATCTCAATGATATAAGATTCCTTGCCCTGCATGCTGCATGCCCTAAGGCAGGAGGCCAAGTGAAACTGCAATGTCAAATACCTGCCCATTGAAGTACTCTTACCAATGAAGTCATATCTCCCAGAGTGTTTAGGTCAGGAGTGGAGGGGAGATGATGTACCAAGAGTATTTTGGCATTTCATTCAGATTGTTACAAGTCAACAGGAGAGTGACAGCTACACTGAGAAAAAAGGCTAGAAAGATGGATGAAGGTAGATATAATCAGGTCTTTAAAGGTAAAAGGTGAAACATTTTCTACATTTAATAAAAACATTTTCTCTTTTGAGGAAGTCTAGAGTCACATTTTTGTAAGTCCCCCCACATCTAAAATGTATTAAAACACATGGCTTAACAGTGGCTGCACAGAAAATATACACCCTCAAGGTCTGACTTTCATTTAAATACAAATATACAAAATGTAAACGGAGACGATAGAGAAATTTACAAAACTTTCCTTTAAAAATAATAAACACAAAATTCAGTTCTAGTTAGGATACTATTAAAATCCGTGCAAGCTGTCATATGCCATTAGGTTTCTATTGCAATGTTCAACAATGACAATTCCAGTCCACCCCGGCTTGGGGCCATCTTGGAAAACAGACCTGAGTGAAAATTTCTTTGAGAAACTTGGAGGCTTGTTGTTGGGGTGAACAGTATCCTATCCTGGTTCCTGGGGGCACTCTCCTGGCCACCCAGCCACAGTGGAAGCTCCATTGGCTACAAGTTCTGCTTCCAAGTAGAAGGGTCTGAGCTGGTTACACTTTTGACTTCTAGACCAGAGCTGAAACTAGCTGCTTCCAGTGGAGTTTGAATTGATGTGGTTTGAATTAATACGGTGATTACAACTGGTCTTAGGAGTGGGTGAACTCTTGGAATTGTTCTGATGCTGGGGAGAGGAAAGGGGAGAGTCAGTTCTTGGTAAACTCAAATCCCACAGATGACACATTAATGGTAGCTATGGAGGTAGAGGAAGTAGAATCCAGAATGTTCCAACCTGCTTCTCTTTGCCTTTTTTGCATTCTTCCCAGCAGACCTGAGTCTACAGCCTGCTCCTTGAGCAGAGGGTTTTGTCTGGTGCCTGGGAAGGTCCATGGAATTAAGAAAGCCTAAATCTGTGAGCAGAGGGAAAGGGTAATTTCTTTCTAGAACTCATAGTTTTACTTGATAGAAATGTTTAAACATTTCATTGTATTATAAACACACGAACATATTACAGAGTAGGATGTGAAACTTACATGAAGTTCTTATAGAAAACACACAAAGTTGGCAGGGGGTGGAGCTCAGTCTGCACTTCCCATGAGCCTGAAGATGCTTCCTGCCCTGAGTCACAGATAACAGATATCCTGTGGGGTCACCAGACGTGTGACCTAGGGTTAGGTTCTTTGACTTCTCTCAGCCTCAGTTTCCTTAACCGAAATAGGGCAATGGAAACCCATACACATGTGTTCACACTTCACAAGGATACTTCCTAAGGATATACCACAGTGGTGAGTCATACCCTCTCCTGGTACATGGAAGGTGCCTAAGATACAGTGGTAGAATAAATGAGTTGTTGGATAGAAGCTGGGGTGTGTAGACATGTATGTCTCATCCATAATACATCTTTGTAAATAACCACCTTCATCCCTGCTACCTGAGGGAGAAAGTTAAGATTCAGGTCAAGGACCACAGGTGCACCTGGGGTCAGAGACAAGTAGAAAGAGGCTCCCAAGCTCAAGGGTGGGAATCGTGGGGCTTCAGCTTCTTGAAGGGGCAGGCTAAGTGGGATGCAACTGCAGCTGCCTTTGTAGCTGTGGAGTGGGGCTAATGGGTTCTCATATTCAGGCTTATCAGATCTTCCCAAGGGCTGTTTTCCCATTTGGTCCATACCAATCCCTCCTTCAGAGATAAACTTTGAGGGAAGAAATTCTACTCCCAAGGAGAAAACTCCTTAGGCTGCCAGCTAGTAGCAAGGAGGGGATGGGTACTGAACAATGGGACAGTGTTTCCCAGGCTGAGGTGGTTTTTCTTTGTAAGGGACATTCAGTGGTGACCACTAGAAGAAGAGGTCCTGAGCTGGGTTTACCTCTCTATCTAGTGGGAAGAGGCTGATAATGTTGTTCAGCATCCTTCAGTATGTAGTACAGACATGTGGCAAAAAACAGCTTCCCTGTGTCAATAATGTTGACATGGGAGCCTGTCCCTTCTGCCTGCAGGGGTCTCCATTACCAACAGGGCTGTTGGGGCTTTGGACAAACTCACTAACAATTCCAAGCTACCAGGCCATACAGGCAGGGAACATTCTGAAGCTCTGGTGTATGGAAGTGGGCTGGAGTCCCAGAGCTAAGGCCAGGCTAGCCAGGCTGACTCTTACCTGACGCCTGAAGAGTCTGTGGAACAGCCCTTTCTTTGGTGGTTCTGGAAGCTGACTTCTGTTCAGGTCCGGTGAGAGGGTACCGTTGGGTCCAAACACATTCAGCTCCTTAAAGCATTCTGTTTCTATCATCTGGAGAGGCAAAATAAAAACACCACTGAGACATATCATGCCTGCCCTGCAGGTTCTGGCCCCTCCCCCAACAAGGCTCTTCAGTAACTTGCTGGGGAACTCCACCAAGAGCAGAATCCACCAGACACACACTCTTTCCCCTCCAAACTATCTTCTATAGCTTCCTTGACCATGAGCCCTATAGCATTCTGATCAGCTGACTTCCTCAATTTGATGCTTGTAGCTCCAGAAAATGTACCATTTTTCCGTTTATTTTAAGGAGCCTCATGGGGAGGCATCTTGCTGCTTTCACCACCTGTTCTCTCTCAGGCACTCTGTTGGCTTCTATACCCACCCCAGGTCCATCTCTGCCACCATAGCCAGTGGCCCTTCTATCACTCTTGCACTTCCATTTTCTCTGTAGAGAAGCTGGGACATGCCCTGCCCACCTCATTTTGCCATGGGATTGGCACAGAGCCTGTGGAGAACTTGGAGTAGAAGTCGTCATCTGTGTGGTCCAGGTTGACGCCTTTCACAGTGGAGAACTGCTCAATGTCTAGCACATCCTTGCAGTACACAGCCCGTGGCTACAAGACACAGAGAGTTCCATCACATAGGCCCTCCCAGTGGCTGGCAGGTCCCTATACCCAGCCCTGAAGGTTTTGATGTGGAACATGGGGAACATCTTTCTGATGTCTGGATCCTCTCTCTTGATCCACCAAGGGAAACTGGTTCTAGTGAAATGAGAGCTAGGGGTGCCCAGCTGTCTACTCTAGCGCTCCTTCTTTCCACAGCTTAAACACATAGACCACAGACCTGTGGTTTCTTTCTAGGTAGGTCCAAGTGATTGAGAGGTTACTTCTGTGTCTAAGTTCATGCTCTCTGGAATCTTTGGACACCTCACCCATCAGCTGTCTTGGCTGCCAGGAAGCCCACAGCATCAGGAAGGTAGCGCTGTTTCAAATACCTTCTCTTTTGGATGAGGGGTTGCATGATCACAGTTTGGGATATGTGGTCCATTCCTCTACAGAGAGAATGGAAGCTGTGTACACAGTACCAGACAAAAGTGCAAGAGGAATTCTGCTCAGAGCATAGTGCCATAGAGAGACGACAGCTAGGGTTTACATGGCATAGCCCTGGTAGGAATATGTTCCATCTCCTTCTCATGTAGCCCAATAAACCATATGTTTTAATTCAGATTCTGTAGCAGGTATTCCCACTATGAAGCTTAGGAGTCTTGGAAAAAGCCACATGTGTCTTCAGAATCTTAGTTTTCTTCCTGCAAATGGGGATAATGAAAACACATGGGCCATAGTGCTGCTGACTGTTGCTGCTGTTCTGAGTATGAGCTGCTGTGACAATGGAAGTCCTGCCTGTCCTCAACTGTCCATCTAGCAGCAGTTGAATGCCCACTCTACATACATACACACAGAAGCCAACCTGGCCGGGTTCTGCCCTACAGGAGGGCAGGTTGTGGAATGTACAATGCCAAGGAGATATGAACTTTAGGGGTAACTCCAGGCTGAGCAAAGTGTGTCTATCTGGAGATAGAGACTGTTTCTATGCAGCCTTCCCAGGCCTAGCCCAGGGCCCAGCACAGATACCAGCTTACTCAAGGGTCATGAGTTGGCTCATAAGCTTGGTAGAGACTGTGATCCCTTAGTAAGCTCCAGCCCAGGGCTTAAGCCTCAACATTTTCTAAGGTTTATCATTCTTTTTACAGAGGCCTATTGCTCAAGGCCTCTGTATGTGGTTTGAAGCCACACAGCTAGGAGAACAAACCGCTGGGCTAAAGGGTGGGTGAGAAGTGGCAGAAGTAGGGTTGGGGACCTCACAATGTAGCTGTACCTCTCCTTCTCAGTCTTCATGGCTTGGGGGAAGGAGTTAGGTGGCATCAAGATCATTTCCATTATTTACAAGGCCAAGATAAAATAAAAATGCAGGGTCCCCTACTCAGAAAGTATTACAATTTTAAGATAACAATTAATGTGACATTGAGCCAAACAAGGCAAGGATGATTATACATGCCAAGCCCATGTAGCTGGCCATGGGATGTGTTCAGGCCTTGGGATGTGTGATGGCCCTCAGAAATGTACAGATAAATATTTTTTTTGCACTGATAAAAATTTCTGTACTGATAAAAATTTAACTTAACAAGCCAAAACCTATCATCTTATGGTTATTATTTTCTTAGAGAAGTTTCCTTTTGAAATACATTTATGGGCTGGAGAGATGGCTCAGCAGTTAAGAGCACTGTCTGCTCTTCCAGATTTCCTGAGTTCAATTTCCAGCAACCACATGATGGCTCACACCATCTATAGTGGAATCTGATGCCCTCTTCTGGCATGCAGGTGTACATGCAAATAGAACACTCATAAAATAGATAAATCTTTACAAAAGAAAAAAACAAATATTTATTTTGGTTTTGAAAAAAGTCAAGTGAAGTGAAAAAGATTAAGCCAGTAATAGTGCCTATGAATTATGAATGTGGCTATGACCTGAAGGTGATATGAGAACTATGAATGAGTGGTTGGGCCAGAGGGCAGACAAGATAGGGGCAGGTCATCTTTAGGCATTTATAAGGGTCTTCACTTTCTGGGGCCTACAATCTTCACTCACCATCTACCCCAATGACATGCTAAGGGCCTTGGCTGCCTAGAGGAGAGGTCATATGCCATGTGAACCATAGGGTACTATGGAACAGGGGTAGGGAATGCTGACCTCTATACAAGACATTGAGAAGTCCTCAAGCCTAGTGGAGGTTTTGTCATACCCAGGATGACCAACTATTCCCGTTTTTTCAAGACATAAACTTTCAAGGCTAAATCAAGAACACTTCTAGATGGCTAATTGCATTGATTACCGGAGATGCTGCTTCCCATACAACAAACACTCTATGACCTGAAAAACTTTTTTTTTCAGCCCTGCCGTGCCTGTACTCTGAGCGTGCTAACAACTAAAGAGTAACACTCATACTTCCCCTCCCCAATTTTATTTATTGGGTGTTTGCTGACATTTCACTTTTCAGACTGAGGTTTCCATGGTAGAAATAACCCAGGATCCTATTTGTCGTGCATCCCCTGGAGCCTGGAGCATGTGGAAATGTTCAGAAATACATCCTGTGTCATGAGTAATCTCACCATATCAATAGGTAGGCCAGGAGGATGGTTGTGGTTCTTTTGCAAGTCCAAGCCTACAACTGTTGTATCCTTGCTGTTACTCTAGACATTCTCTAGGGATGCTGAGCAGTGGCTGCATCATATCTCCCAATAAACTTAAAAATATCTACCAACAAACAAACAAAATTTGAAAACTGGGTTAGGCTTGGCCCAAGACCTGGGTACAAAATTAGTATTTCTTGTGGGGTGGAATACTAGGGGACAATTTTGGGTGCCATCCTTAGGAACACCATATACTTCCTTTGAAACAGAGCCTCTCATTGGTTTGGAACTCCCAATTTGGCAAGACTGGCTGGCGAGTGAGCCTCAGAGATCCTTCTGTGTCTGCCTTCTCAGTGATGGGATTATAAGCACATAGCAATACATCCGACTTCATGTGGGTATTGAGGATTGAAATCAAGTCCTCATGCTAGCAATGCAATCACTTTACTGATGGGCTAGCTCCTTGGCCATTCTCTCCCATTTTTGAGACAGGATCTCATGTGGCACAAGCTGGCCTCCCAAACATGCTATATAGCTAAAGATAATTTTGAATTTCTAAGCCTTCTGCTTCTGCTTCCTAAATGCTAGGATTAAAGGTATGCATCATCATACCTGGTTAGTATGATGCTAGGAATCAGACTCAGTACTCCATTCACACTAGGGAAGCATTCTACCAATTGAGCTATAACCCCGGGCCACGATCATTACTTTTATTTCTCTCTAGGTGAAAGAAAACCAATTTTGAGAGTCACTACTACGACTGGAATCTCCTGCAACAACTGCTGAATTTCCTCTCATGTGGAGTTTGCAGCACTTACTGACTTAATCTTCCTAAGGTCAAAAAACATTCCCTGGTCAGACCTATGATGTACATGCCACATCTGGCTACAGAGGTCTCCAGTGGATGACTGTGGACACTGTTCAGCATCCAGCAGCTAGCCCTGGCTTCCCACATCTGCTGCTGACCTTCTACCATGATGATTAGGGAACCTTTACTACAGGAAGATGACAAAGATCCAAGAACTGTTCCTCACTTCTTTAGTGCTGTACTAACAAATGGTTAGCAACTGGTTCTATGAGAGGGGTTTTGGAAAGCTCTGATTTGTATTATTTGCCAATTCTTAATGGTGTCCACAGTCCCAGCCTGGCTCCAGCCTTGTGACTGAGCAGGGCCCTGGGAAGAGATGTGTACTACATCTGTCAACTTTCATGAACTGAAACAAGGCAGTTCCCCAGTGTTCCTGTACCTTTCACAGTTCTTGGCTCATCCCCCAGGTCCCAACAAGTATCCTTAATATGCTGGGACTTTGAAAGAACAGAGGCACAAAAAGACCTTGCTGGATGGGGCCCCTTTGTGAGTGTGAAGCTGGGCTATCCAGGTCCAGTGGAGCATTTCCAAGGAGAATTCTAATTTAACCAAACAGTAGATGCTCAGTTAAACTGAACTGAATGTGGTGATCCTCATGACAGCATTTTCTGTTTTGGTCTCACTTCAGCCTTCAAAATCTCTAGCAGGGTCAGGGAGAGGAGGTGTCTTGGACAGAAGAGGACCTGAAGGCTGTCTAGGCCCCTTATACTAGAGAATGTACCTAGGTGTCTGGACAACCAGTGTGGGGCTCCAGGGTTCATACTCCCATCTGTACATTCTGACATCAAGATCTGTAGCACTGCCACAAAGTAGCCAGGGTGTAGGAAGGGGCAGAGAGCAAGCTTTGACACTCTAGAAGACTGTTGGATTGACTGACTTGAGGCATTGTTTGAGACACAACTCTGGGTCTGCTAGAAAGCACAGCTGGGAGAGATGACTTTAGAGCTCCTGGGAGCAGTGGTGGCTACTCACATCTGGAACGAAGGGAGGGTCCAACATCCCAGCCTCCAGGCGCTTAAAATTCATGTTCCTGAAGAAGGGGTGCCTCTTGACTTCGGCAGCCCCCTCCTCCTGGCAGCCCAGCCTCTGCTTCGAGTCTTTGATGAGCAGCTGTGACAAGAGAGTCCCATGAAGCCATGTGATTGGGCCTTTCCATCTGCCCAGAGGCCACAAGGGCAAAGAAACATCTGTGGCTGTAGCTATCCCAAGTGTCCCTCCTTTAGCCTCCCAGTGCCACTTCCTGGAACTCACAGAATGAGGGGGATGTCTTCCCAATTAGAAGAACTGGAGTGACAGCAGAGAGAGGACCAGATCATATCTTTGTAAAAACTAAGTCATGCTCTCAGTTGCCCTATGGTACACATTAAGGCTGGTGGCTCAGATTTGCCCACATCTGGGCTTCTCTTTTCAATTTTATTTTGTTTTACGAATTTTTCTTATTATTATTGTGTGTAGGTGTATGTACCACAGCATGTGTATGTAGATTAGAGAACAACTTTTTGGAGTCAGTTTTATCCCTTTACCTGTTACATGGGTTCCAGGATTTGAACCCAGGTTGCCAGGTTTGCATAAAAAATGCTTTACCTGCTGAGCCATCTCTCTGGCTCTGAGTTCCTCTTTTCCAGATACAAGTACCTGGGCTATGCTCTATTTACTCCAAGAAACACCAAAGAAGCAAAGCTGTGCAGTGGCTACGCCTGTTAATTTAGCCCCCAGAGCCAAAGATAAGATGATGAAACGATGGATGATAGGTAGGGCTGGGTTGCTTATCAACTACTACCAGGTAGGAATGACAGCTAAGAAAGACTTGTGCTTTCCAAAGAAGTGCTAGAAAATCAGGTTTTTAGTATGAAAAGCTTGAGTATTAAGTTAAAATTTGACTATTTCTAAAATACTCCATAGAAGGAGAACAAAACATCCACCTACGGAATCACCCGTTTGCAAGCATGCTATAAGGTATACATTAGCATGAGAGAAAGTGTGGGTGGGGTGGAAGAAGGCAGAGTAGGGTCCTGGAATGTGGAAGATTCATGTGATCTTGCATGACTGAGAGATCTGAATGGCTGGAGGACTCGGGAGGGTGGAAAAGAAAGAGAAATGGGCCTCAGCAGGGGCCTCAGCTTTAGGATTAGATCTAAGAATCAAGGAAGTTGGACTATGAGCTTTTAGACTATGAACTTCAAGGGTCATGGCTGTCAAGACAGAATGGAGAGCAATTTCCTTGCTGTCTGTGTAGCTGCCTCCATGGTTTACAGGTCAGGCATTGCAGTAGCGTGAGTCAGTACCTGTCAGAGGAATAAGAGCAGAGTGGCCAGACTGAGATACTGTGTATTATAAAGAGCATGAGGTCCAGACAAGAATCCAAGCCCCAAGAGAAGACAAAGCAAGGTTTGAGGTTTCTTCCTTGTGGCAAAGATGAGGGCTCAATTATTTGGGACTTTTCAGCCACAGAACAGTGGAAGGCTTAGCTAACATAGTAACTCAGTGGCCACAAGGGGGCAGGAGAGTGACAGCAGTGGCCCTGGTTATAGCAATTGCTTCTGCTCAAAGCATGTGGTTGAATTGGAGGTTTGTAGGGAAGTTGGGTGGTGGTGATGGTGGTAATGATTTTAGAAGTAGGGGTCATATTTGCCTCATCCTCTCAGTACGTTTATGTTTCTTTTGAGGTCTCTTGAGATCTGCTTCTTGGAAGTCCTTACTCTAAGACACCACATAGATAGCTGACCATGCCATAACAAGTATTGCTGGCAATCACAAGTATCTCTACACATCCCTGACCTCTGCTGCCTGTTTCTCCAGTATCCCATCCTGACTGTCCTGGGAATGGGGTAGCTAAGCCCCTGGGGTTCTCTGGCCCTCTGCATATAGAAGCTTAGCTATTTCCCTTCAAGTTTCCAGTCCTGGCCCTCCCTAAGCTCCACCCTGGGCCAGGGCCACTTGGGGACTCAGGAATGAGAGGAGAGGCCCCTTTCAGACTGGGCTTCTCTGCTGATCCAGGTACAGTGTAGCTCCAGGGGAAGGTAGTCTATGGCTTGCAAGTGTGTGGAGCTAGGCACTCAGGTCCTTCCTGTTCTCATATGGTTGGCATCAGAGAGCATCTTTCCGTGGTGAGACTTGGGAGCCTGAGAGCCAGGCAGGAGCAGGAAGTAGCTGACTACACACTGTCAAAAGAAGGGCCTAAAGGCTAGCTAGGGAACATTATCCAACAGGGCTGATGGAGATATAGCAGTTCAGGGAGGGCTTTATGCCCCCTACACCTTTTCTTCTTTCTAGTTGTTCAGTATCTGTATCTGATCCCAACCTAGTCCAGCCAGTCTAACCCTCCTCATTTGTATGTACTGCCCATCCACAGATGCTGCTACTCAGAACTTGAGCTGTAACCACCTTTCTACATAGTGGATAGAAACCATGAGAACATGTTCAAAGACTTCAAGGACATCAACACCCCTCTTGCAGTCCTTGCCCTCAAACCAGTGTCTAGAATCTAGAGCTGAGGGAACAGGAGACCGAAGTTCAAGGGTAGAAACTTGCTTTGTGAACCAACTCGCTGTTCTTTGCTGACTTCTCTACAAAGCTACATAATTTCAGGGATGTTTACCTTACCCCATTCCTTGATTCATGGAATATCCTACCTGTTATGGCAGGCTTCCCCTAAGTCCTTTTTGGCCATCTGATCCACATCAAGAACCAGCCATTCTGGTGTGGAGGGTTGTACTATTCACAGGTTTGTATGTACTGTTCCTGTCCTTTCAGCCTTTCTGGTGTTCTAGGCACAGGCTGGAGCTACTGCTGGGCAGCAACCTATGGGCGGCATCTGGCTCAACAGGAGCTTACCATGCTGCAGATGGACTTGGCCTCTTCGGAGAACTTGGGGGAGTACACCTCCTCAGTCTCCAGCACCCGGCGATCCACCTCTTCCCGCTTGACTTTCTCCTTGCGGCCTCGAAATGGTGACTGGCCCTCAATCATCTCATAGATGAGGCAGCCCAGGCCCCAGTAGTCAGGGCTCAGCCCATATCGCTGGTTGTTCAGGACCTCTGGGGCTGAGCACAGGAGGGGAGGGAGTGAGGACAACTGGCAGCAGAGGGCAGCCTAAGCACACAGGCCACTGCTGCCCCTCATCCCATTAGGGTGACAGCCTCCTCACAGAATGACTGAAGTTTGAGGCTGGCGCTACCTTCCTTCCAACCTTCAACTTCACTCCAGCAGGCGTGTAAACACCACTTTGTCCAGAAAGCCTCCCCTGATGTTGCTTCACTGTGCCTAGTTCTGACAATGGCTTCAGGACCCTGATTACTGTGTATGGAAATGTCTCCTCAGATAGAACACATAACACAGTTTTCACTGCTTTGTCCCTAGTGACAGGCATGGCTCCCCCACACAAGCCACACTGCATACATATTTGGTGCCCACCTAAACTAAAGATTATATTCAATCTACCTGGACTTTGAATAATCTTTTGGGGGGCAGGGCTGAAGGCATGGCTTAGTGGTTAACAGCACAAACTGTCTTCTATTCTAAAGGACCTGGCTTTGATTCCCAGCACCCACATGGCAGGAACTCCAGTTTCAGGGAATATATCACCCTTTTCTGGCCTCTGCAGGCACTAAGTACACACAGGGTACACAGATATACATGCAGACAAAAGACCCATACACATACAATAATATCATCATCACCTTTTAAAATCTCTTACTGTATCTTCCCTACCACTTTGACAAAATAACTCATAGATTCACCATAGACATATAAAAGACATATACATGTCTTGAGGTCATTCAAAATTAGAATGCATGATATGCACCAGTGGACACATGAGAGTCTGTGTGTAGTCAAAACATTCAGCAGAGTTCAAAAGGAGAGCAATGCAAATGTGTAAGCAGATTTCCGTGCAGGTACATGGACAGGTATATCTATATCTATATATCTGCCTATCTGTCCACCCATCATCCAGATATCCATCACCCATTTATCCATCATCCACCCAGCCGCAATATGAGAGGGTCATACAGGGAAGTAAACCATGCAAAGAGATAAGAGTGAAAATCTGGTGCAGATTGACAGCATCAACCTGGATCAGACTTTGGGGAATATAAGAATAGGCAACTTATTCCCAATGAAAAAAAAGTTTCCTGGTTTAATACAAAGAAAGCATAATTCTTTATGCACAAGAAAGCATAAATACATTTATGCTCAATGAAACTCAACTAAGGGTGGTGTCATTTCTTCCAAGAAAATGGGTTCTAGAGACAGGCTATGTGAACTAGCTTAAGGGGCTAAGGTTCTGGCCTGGTCTCAGTATTGTAGAGGCCATTTCGGCTATTAGCTGCCTCTGATCCTGGTTGTGGGAGCCTGGTGAACCTCTGGCTATAAGAGTCATTTAGATTACTGGCCGCCTCTGGTCCTGGTTGTAGAAGCTTGAAATAGCCTGGCCCAACAGATAACAAAGGCTGTTAATCACTCCTAATTGTCAGCTTTCTGGATGGAAGAACAAGATTTTCATTTTTCCCATTGGAAGGACAATCCTGTGTTTCTAAGCCTGGTTTCTCTGGAGATCTGTGGGTACAGGGACCTTTGTGCTATGCTCCCAACACCCATCCACCTATTCTCTATGTATCTATCCGATCTAACTATCAGAATTCTCAGTTTCACATATTTACAGCCACATATCCCGTAGGTTGTAGTCTGGACTCTCAAGAACCAGAGAAAACGTACTGAACGTTACATTGGGCAGAGGGCAACAGGGACTGAGCCTAGAACTTTCAGGGGTCCCGTGTATCTCCTGGGGATGGAACAGAGGACATATGCATGGGAAATGTACAAGGAAGCAAGAGATGGTCCTAATTGGTAGAAGATTCTAAGAGTTTAGGTCTCTTCCCAGCATGTTACTCTTGGAGCAGGCCGAGAGGAGGCAGGGTGGTCCCTAATTAGAACCATGCTTGGAAACATGGCAGGTTCCTTTAATTTTAGAGCTTTTCTTAATGACCTCCTTCTTCTCGGAGGTATCCACAAAGAGCTCATTCAAGTAGGTCCTACTTCAACAAGAGCCTCCCCCCCACCCCTAGAAATGCTGGTGCCAGGCTCTAGTCACCAAACCCCCAGGATGGCTTGATTTGGGGACCTCTTGGTTGGGAACTATAGAAAACTCAGTTTAGGTCACACCTTGGGTCCCAGTGTACCCTACCTGACTGAAGCCTCCAGGCACTCTGTGGAAGATCAGCAAAACACAAAGAGACTGTGGAACTTAAGAGTGGAGGCCTTAGGGTGGCACAGTGTGTGATGGGCACAAGGTATTACTCACCCATGTAGCCAACAGTGCCTACCCGGCCACGGATAAGGTCTCCCTCAGGGATCTTCACAGCCAGTCCCAGGTCTGAGATCCTGATGTGGCCTATTGGGGACAGCAGAGTCAATGGATTCCTGTGGTCCATAGACTTGTGAGGCTTCTGTCCGATGAAGATATAACCTCAGTCTGTTCTCTCAGGGTGAGCATGTGACCGTGGGAGAGTGTAAGTGCGATGTGCAGAAACTGCACATTAATGAGAGGACCATTAATAAAGATGCAAAAGGGTGCTTGGACAGGGCTGGCCACTGGCCGACCTGCCGCATTTAATGCCCCAAGGAGCTTCCTGGAAGGCTGAGGTCACAGAGTTTAAAATGTCTTGGCTGATTCTAGGATTGCTTCGCAAGAAAAATATGAGGTTCTTGACATTTTGCAACAATGTGCTTAAGGGAAAAAGTTGTAAAGCAATTTAGGAAGCCACTCCCTGCCTTCCTGATTGATCTTTGTAGGTGGTTTTTTTTTTCCCCCCTTCAGAAAGATGGAGAAATAAGAAGGGCAGAGCCTGGCCTGGAATCTGAGCTCATAGTCCAAACTGCCCCTAAGACCCAGGCAGCAACACCCTAAGGGTTCTATACTTCTACCTGTCACCCCTACTAGCAGGATTATAGATACATTTCACATTCAGGAAGGAACACATGCCCTTGTCCATAAATGCCTGTCAGGCCTGAGTGGCTTAGATAGCCTCTAGCTCTGTGGTATCTGACAGAAAGGGGTAAAAGAGCATATGAGGACCAGCAGTGGACTACTCCTGCGACTACAGTGACTACACTGTGGCCTGAACCTCTTGGAGAACCCTGTGCTCTCGACTCCTCTGCACACAGCTCTTTCCAGGTCAACAAATGTGTTGGGGAGGGGTACTCTGTGTCCCAGGAACATGCAGAAGACTTGGTGGCATCACTGCCAATGTCAGGTTGGTTCCTCTGAGCCTCAGGCTTATCATATGTAAGATGGGCACTTGGATGCTCCTGCCCTTCTGTGGAGATGGGAAAATCTACTCAGGTACATAAGAAAACTACTTTGTAGGTGTGACAGACTAAACTGTGTGAGGGGCTGCTACCTACATGCTCACACCCAAAGCAAATGACAATGATAGTACACAGATAATGACATGTTCACAGCTAGCTGGAATCAACAGGTTATTTTCCATGGGCCATCATGTAGTACCCTCACTACACAGTCCTCCCCATAGTGGCCAGGACAGGCCTGAGGTCTCTGCTTCACAAACAGAACAAGGAGTAGGACAAGTGGCATGGAGATTCAGTGCTACTAAGAACCTTTAAATGTCAGTACCTTTGCCTTTGATTGGCATTCTTTGTCACTGACACTGCCTCTGATGTCAGAGTCAGCTGAGCTACACTGCTTTACAAAGTAGAGGCATCCCTCAGGTCCAGGAGTAAGGAACAGGAGTGGGGTCCTCTGCCCTATGGGTCTCCATCCCTTCCCATAATCCTGGCCTAACCCCATCCATTCTTGAGAGTCTCTGGAGGCCCTTGCTCTGGGTAACTTGGAACACTAACCTCAGATACTGCAACAGAAAATGTCCCATCTTCCAGCCCCTGACTTACCATAATCATCTAGCAGGATGTTTTCGGGTTTCAGATCTCTGCAAAATGAAAACAACAAGCATCTAGCAATGGCCATTCCAGGCAGCAAAGCAACAGTGCATTTGGGTTGACCCTCTGGTGCCAGTCATGCCTAGTAACCACAAGATGTCTGTCTCCTATCTCTGGGCTGAAGTAGTCTGGTCTTTCTGAGTCAAGGCCATTGTGAACTCATTTCTCTCCTCCACGTAATCTAACACAAATGCCACTGGCTTCTTCTCTTTCCTAGAGAATGATTAGCATGTTAGGAAAGGCCAGTTCTGGTACTTTTCCTCACACGCATGGTTCATGGTGCAGAGGGCAAAGGCTAGTATGGTCAGAGACTCCCTGGAGGGCTTGGTAGACCTGACATCACAGGACACCCTGTAGGCAGAGCAAGTCCTGGAAACAAAGAGAAGTCACCAAGGCCAGAGTATTAGCTCTACCATTGGGAAGAAAGCTGTGAGATGGGTCAGAGGGAAAACTCCTATGAATGGAGTCCCAGGAGGCTGGTACATCTAAGTCCTGCTGTGTCAAAGCCTGGGAAGAAGCCAGGCAGAAGGCATAGCTACCAGTGGAGCTGCTTCACCTTATCCCCAGGTTCTCCTCTCGTCAGTGACAAGATCTTACTCATGAAGGGGAACAGAGAGGGAACAGGCAGAAGACTCTGGATTTCCCAGTGAATCTGGGTAAAGGAAAAGCTTTAGCTTAGGATGTGTACAATGTTGTTACATCACAGGTATGGCAATACTGGCATCTGAACAGAGGCTCCAGTTCTGCACCAGCCAGCTTTGTTTATTTAACTGATGGCAGTTGTCCTTGTAGGGAGTGGTTCATGTATCCAAATCCTGGGCAATCTCACCAATGAGATGGGTATTTGTGTACTCTTCTTTATTACAAACCATCTTTGCTGATTTTTATTATTTACATGGGTTTCTTTTGATGTGCTAGCAATTCCAAATAAGACAAGAACTCTCAACTCAAGAAACCAGTGGCCATGGGTTGAAAACAACAGGTTGACAGAGACCACCGGACAGGATCAAATTCACAAACCATCTATGGCAGGTGGTCAGGACAAGGAGGAAAACCTGAGGCCAGCAGTGCTCAACCTGTGGGTTTGACTCCTTTGGAGAGGAGGTGTCAAATGACCTTTTCGCAGCGGTTGCCTAAGACCATAGGAAAACAGATATTTATATTACAATTCATAACAGTAGCAAAATGAAAAAAAGTTATGAAGTAGCAATGAAAATAATTTTGTGGTTGGAGGTCACTACATAAAGAACTGTATAAAAGGGTCACAGCATTAGGAAGGTTAAAAAACACTGCCTTTCAGTCTTTGCTGCCCTAGAGGAAGGGAATTTGGAACTTCAGGATTCCCTACCCCCATTCCAACACACTCTTTTTAAAATGAAAGGCAATCAAGGAGGTTCTTAGTTTTGAGCCTTTAGGGGAAATCTGACTTCTTACTTCAATTACAAAACAACAACAACAAAACTCAAAAAACCAAAACAACAAAATACAAACAAACAGAAACACAGGCAAGGGCTAGTGTTTGAGGTAGGAGCTATTGAGAACATTCTTTCATTTCTAAAAACCTCTTGCAGTCCCAAGATAATCTTTATCCAGAAATCCATGGAAAGTCATCAACTGACTGTGTAGGTGCCTAGGGGTCTATAAGGACTGATAGGGTCCCATATTCTGGAAATTTCCAGTGTAGAATTCCTAATATCAGTCCTTACCTTTCAGGCACTTAGCGTAATTTTTTTTTTTTAAATAGATGATGGTAGAAATCAATTTGCTACAACAAATTAGATTCCAAGGGGTCCCTTGAGAAATTATGTAACTGTCCGATATCAAAACATCATCTCTTTCTGCACACATAAGGGAATAATTAAAAATTCATTCAAAATGCAGAAAGGGAGGCAGGAGAGATAGCTCAGTGGTTGTGAACACTTAATACTCTTACAGAGGACTAGAGTTTGGTTCCTGGCACCCATAACAAGGTAGCTTACAACCACTTGTAGCCCCAGCTACAGGGGAGCCAATTACCTTGGACAGTGACTCTCTCTACAACCCATTGGGTCTGATTCCAGATAGTAGCCACTAGGATCCACTGACTATACCTGGGTACAGGTGACAGGGTGGCAGTGATCAGTCTCTCCTTGGAGGAGGAGTTTAGAGAATATCATTTTACAAGCTTGGCTTCTCTAATCATTAGAGGCCAGAGACACCATAAGAAGAGTGGTCCATTTCACTAGCTGGGTTCCTGGAAACCATGTATTTATAAATGGAGGGTTACAGGGGCTCTGCCAAACTCAGGGAGAACTGCTCACCTATAGACAGTATTCTCACGGTGTAAGTCTTCCAGGCCACAGAGGATCTCAGCTGCATAAAATAAGGCTCGCTCTTCTTCAAAGCCAGGGTTCCCCATATTGTAGATATGAAACTTGAGATCACCCCCATTCATGATGGTCAGAACCAGGCACAGCGCATCTTTGGTCTCATAGGCATAAGCCAGGTTGACCTGGGAACACAAGAGCAGCACTATGATAAGGTCATGGCCACTGTCACTAATACTCCCTGCTCTGGGATCATTAAAGCTGGAAGCAGGAGGATTGAAGGGTACAAAGTAATTCATACCCTGTGCCTAGACCTCCTCTCAATGATCTTGCCTGTTTTCTTTCATGCTCAGTGAAGAACTCATGTTCAGATCTTTTGACAAGTGGCTCAAAGTAAAGGGCTAAAGGGGACATGGGCAGGTAGAATCCTGACCTTCCAGCAAGTCTACCAAGGTGTTGACAGTTGCCATACTACAAAGGCATGTGAATGCATTACTTTTTAAAACTAAATGTTGCCTAGTTGGCTAATCAGAAAAGCAAGACATAATGGCCCTTCATACTTCAGGAGAGGCAGTGAGGATTTGGGGAACAGACCATAGCCTGGAAGAAAAACTCTACGTGGGACATGTCAACAGGTATGATTCTGGTGGATCCCTGATACCCAAGGTGCAGTGGATGAGGCAGGTAGCTGACTACATTGTGCTGTAGTCTCCACGTTGGGAGTTTGCACAAATGAAATCTAGCCACTGGCAGCCAGGCTTGGAATAGGCTGGTACAAAAACTTGGGTGGAAACATCAAGAATAGGAGTTATTTCTGAGGAAAAGAGAGACTGGTAGCAGAGGTGGCATGAGCTCACAGGTACTGGCTTTCATTGCCAACTGCTGGAGCTGACCCTCTTCCTTCCACACCTGCCCAGGTGAGCCCCAAGAAGGGTCCAGGAGGTGTGTCATGGTTTGTGTGAGTGTCCTCTAAAGAGCTACATGTTAAAGGACTGGTTTCCAGGGTGGTGCTACTGGGAGGAGAGAAGACCATAGGAGAACAGGCCTATGAGAGGAACTTCGAGTCATTGGAGGTGTCCTAGAAGGAGATTGTGAGACCTAGCCATCTCTTGTCTCTTTATTCTGCTTTGTTTGTTTGCTTGTTTGTGGTGCAAATCCTCCAACATCAAGGCTGTTCAATGTTGAATGGGAACCTCCAGAATTGGGAACCAAAATAAATCTGTTCTTTTTATTAGATAAATGTCTCAGATATTTTCTTATAGTGACAAAAGCTGACACCAGGTGTTACTGTGGAGACTCTCTACCAAGGGTAGTGGACAGAACCCACTTAAGGAAGGTCTAGGACCTTGAAGATGTGCCAGCTCAGGCTTGTCAGACACACCATGTCTTTCTGAGTAGGACTCAACAGCACCTCCCTCACAGATGAAGGCTCCACTAGGCAGCATCAAGGTGACAACCCAAAGTCAAAACAGCCCAGATCAAACCAGGCTGATGTTAGCTTTGTCCAAGTCCTCCTTCAAGGTACCACTGAATTCTCTACTCCTCCCTAAGGACAAACATGGCAGCTGGGACAACCTAGAATGAGACCCAGAGACCAAAACTTCTGACCTGTTTGAGCATCACTTCATAAACCAGTCCTTCTCTGAAGAATAACCAAAAGTTGATGATGGTATCCCCCCTTTGTCACACAGTTGCCAGGAATTTAATTAGGGCAAGCCAGTTGACAAACAACTGTAAGATAGTGTGCATAATCCTTATTCCTCTGCTATGAATCTAGATCCTGGCTACATTCACAGATGCACACCAGGGAATGTTTGAAAGTGGATATCACAGCATGGTTGGTAAAGGTTCACAAACGAGAAACAATTTCAATCTGTGGGTATGGGCTATACAGAGCAGTGATCTATAATTTTTTTTTGAAGGGAAGAGCTAGGCTGTAGGTCTAGATGGAGGGGGGAAAAACAACTTCAGGGTAAAAATCATCATAGCATAAGATACACAGGATGGTCCTGTTTGCTACAAATAATAAAGCAAATATATGAATAAAACATGACTAGAATGACTACTCTACTCAAAGGAGGTATTTGGTTTCTATTGCATATCTTTCTGTCATTTGAATTTTACCTCTCACATATTAGTTTTTATAAGACTAGAGAGATGGCTTCGTAGTTAAGGACATTGGCTGCTCTTTCAGAGGACGTGGGTTCAATTTCTAGCACCCACACAGAAGTTCACAACTGTCTATAACTCTAGCTCCAGGGGATCAAACACCCTGTTCTTGCCTCTACATGTATGTGGTACATGTAGTACATGAAGGCAAAACATTCAAACACAGAAATTAAAAATATTAGTTTCAACAACCTAGGAACCTGCTACAGAGGGCTTCTGAAAGCCAGAAGAAGAAAACAGGAAACAACCTAGGAACCTGCCACAGAGGGCCTCTGAAAGCCTCTGCCGTGCAGACTGTCAAAGCAGATGCTGAGCCTGATGGCCAACTATCGGGCAGAGTGAATGGAATTTTATGTAAGAAGTGGGAAATACACACACTTATGGACACCTGATTTTTGACAAAGATGCCAAAACCATACAATGGAAAAAAAGATAGCATCTTCAACAAATGGTGCTGGTCCAACTGGATGTCTACATGTAGAAAAATGAAAACAGATCCATACTTATCACCCTGCACAATACTGAAGTCCAAGTGGATCAAAGACCTCAACATAAAACCAGACACATTAAATCGGCTAGAAAAAAAAGTGGGGAATACCCTAGAACTCATTGGTACAGGAGAAAACTTCCTGAACAAAAGACCACAGGCTCTAAGAGCAACAATCAATAAATGGGACCTCATGAAACTGAAAAGCTTCTGTAAAGCAAAGGACACCGTCATCAAAACAAAGCGACTGCCTACAGATTGGGAAAGAATCTTCACCAACCCTTTATCTGACAGAGGACTCATATCCAGTATATATAAAGAACTAATGAAGCTGAAAAGCAGCAAACTAAGTAATCCACTTAAAAAATGGGGAACAGAGCTAAAGAGAGAACTCTCTGTAGAGGAATATCGAATGGCAGAGAAGCATTTAAAGAAATGCTCAACCTCATTAGCCATCAGGGAAATGCAAATCAAAACAACCCTGAGATTTCACCTTACACACATCAGAATGGCCAAGATCAAAAACTCAAGTGACAACACATGCTGGAGAGGTTGTGGAGAAAGGGGAACCCTTCTCCCCTGCTGGTGGGAATGTAAACTGGTACAACCACTCTGGAAATCAATCTGGCGCTTTCTCAGACAACTAGGAATAGCGCTTCCTCAAGATCCAGCCATACCACTCCTAGGCATATATCCAAAAGAGGCTCAAGTACACAAAAAGGACATTTGCTCAACCATGTTTGTAGCAGCTTTATTTGTAATAGCCAGAAGCTGGAAACAGCCCAGATGCCCCTCAACTGAAGAATGGATGCAGAAATTGTGGTACATCTACACAATGGAGTATTACTCAGCAATGAAAAATAAGGAAATCATGAAATTTGCAGGTAAATGGTGGGACCTGGAAAGGATTATCCTGAGTGAGTTGTCCCAAAAGCAGAAAGACACACATGGTATATACTCACTCATATAAACATACAACATAGGATAAACCCGCTAAAATCTGTACATCTAAACAAACTAAGCAAAAGAGAGGACCCTAACTAAAATGCTCAATCCCCATCCTGAAAGGCAAAGAGGATGGACATCAGAAGAAGAAAACAGGAAACAACCTAGGAACCTGCTACAGAGGGCCTCTGAAAGCCAGAAGAAAACAGGAAACAACCTAGGAACCTGCCACAGAGGGCCTCTGAAAGCCTCTGCTGTGCAGACTGTCAAAGCAGATGCTGAGCTTGATGGCCAACTGTCGGGCAGAGTGAATGGAATTTTATGTAAGAAATGGGAAACAGCAAGAGCTGGAGAGGACAGGAACTCCACAAGGGGAGCAACAGAACAAGAAAATTTGAACACAGGGAACTTCCCAGAGACTCATACTCCAACCAAGGACTATTCATGGAGATAACCTAGAACCCCTGCACAGATGTAGCCCATGGCAGTTCAGTGTCCAAATGGGTTACATAGTAATGGGAAGAGGGACTGCCTCTGACATAATCTGATTGGCCTGCTCTTTGATCACCTCCCCCTGACGGGGGAGCAGCCTTACCAGGCCACAGAAGATGACAATGCAGCCACTTCTGATGAGAACTGATAGACTAAGATCAGAAAGAAGGAGAGGAGGACCTCCCCTATCAGTGGACTTGGGGAGGGGCATGCATGCAGAAAGGGGGGGGTGGGACTGAGAAGGGAGGAGGGCTTATGGGGGGATACAAAATGAATAAAGTGTAATTAATAAAAGTTAAATAAAAAATTAAAAAAATATATTAGTTTCTATAATAATATGTGGAAGAAACATTTAGAGCTTACCAAATATCCATGCTTCTCCATGGATATTTAGCCTCCTCTGCAGGAAGGTTGTCCCTGAGATGATTAGCTGTGACCAGTGGACTATGGGTGGAAGTATGGAATGCCAGGTCAAGTGAGGCAGTGAGAAGTCCCTGTGGAGACTCCCCCCACATTCTTTCCTGGCTTTAATTGGGTTAGCCAGTAAGTGAAGAAGAGCTCAATCTGACTAGACTTGATATAGCTTTCATTGTGTGCAGATCTATAAAGTTAGGGCTAATTTATTATTTGGGCAGAGCGTAGTCTAGACTGACCAGGAAGCACACAAACAAAATAGCACCTCTTGATGAAACTCCACCATGATGGCCTCCAGGAACATCTGTGGAACCCAGAGATCCTTGTCTGGGCCTAGAGTGACCTTGTTTTGTTCACTGAGTTTTTAAGGTGGCCATAGAGAACAGAGATCCCAGAAAAGGGGACTAGCTATCTTAGAGGGCCATCATTACTTGCAAGGAAGAAAGTCCCAGTCACCAGAAGATTGGGCCTGTGGCCCTGGATACTCACCACAAACTGGCTGTTGACCTTCTCAAGAATCTGCTTTTCATTGAGTGCCATTGACTCTCCTTTCCTTTTTTTGATCCTCTTCTTCTCTAAGCGTTTGCAAGCATACATTTTACCAGTGGCCCGAACTTGGCAGGCACAGACCTGCAGTAGAAGGCAGACACTCAGGTCATAGTATATTACAGTGGTCTACCCAACTCCAAGGCCTGACATCCTGGCCATGACAGCACAAGAGGATCCTTCTGAAATCACCACTATTCTAAAAAAAGTGAAGAAGGGGAGCAGAGGCCCAGCCCCTTCAATGGAGATGTTCACTCACCTCTCCAAAGCCCCCTTTGCCCAGCACTCGATACTGCCGGAAAGTATTTTTGGTCACTGGTTGTCTGAAAAATATCAAGAACCTGACATTTGTCTCCTGAAATAAGATTTAAGATCCATAAGAAACAAGACAGGAGTGGTTGGCAAGGAGAGCCCAGGGCATGTAATGTCTTCCTCTGAGACTGAGCTAGAGACCCAGACCTCTGGCTCTGAGTACTGGGGAGCTAGGTGATAAGACATTTTGGCTTTCTTGGGAAGCTCAGGAAGAAGTTTCAGAAGAATAATCCCACAGTGCTTAACCACGCTGAATCAGGACTTCCCTCTTCCTTCTGTAGGAGCTCAGCCCAATCTAGGCAATTAAAGGCTCATGGAAGCTACCCTTTCCCTAACAATACACCTCTGCTCTCTCACAAATGCATAGCCTATGGCCAGACGCAGAAGGAAACTCTGCTTGGGGTACAGGGTGGGGGCTGTGAGCCCTCCTGACCCCTGTAGGGCTCAGTCTGCCAGCAGTGACCACACTTGCTGTTCTATGCACCCAAGAGGGAGTGCACCTTGCTTAGAGCAAACGTTGGTGGCTACAGGTCTGCTCCAGGTACTCTGTGATCATCAGCTCTTAGCCTTTTCCTCACAAGGACTGCTTTGTTATATTTCCATTCATTCAGGATATGGTATCACCAAAGAGTTGGTGATAAAAATACCCACCATTTTCTGTCTCCAGCTTCCCAATTTAATGAGCAAGAGCCAGGGAGCATGTCGGACCTGACAGACTTTCTCATCAGAAAGCATGGATGGTATTACCAGGAGTCAAGAAATAAAGTCATCTAGCTCTTGCCAAGAACTCTAGGCTGAGGAGCTTGTTTTTATCCCTGGTCTGGTTGGCAAAAAGTAAGCAATATAACATGGGAAAGCTACCTTTTGGATCACAGGGATTACTTCTGAGAACACACACACACACACACACACACACACACACACACACACACCCTATAACATTCTGATCAGGACAGGGGCTAAAAGACAGAATTAATCAGTTTGAGGAGGACCCACAAGCCTCCAGCAAGTCTTGAACATTCACATCCTCTAAAGATCTTCCATGTTGATAGGCCTGGATTTCTTTAATATCGCCTCTTCATACTACATACTTCATACAATTGCTATTGGGACAACCATGAAAACCCAGGGAACTCTAAGGTCCCAGGTCTTCATGTGTGTGACATACTTTTCTTTTTGCTGGTCCCCATCAGGTGCACAGGGCACCCTGCCACAGTACCCTTTAGTACCTGGCTTCCTACTTAGCACTAAGGCAGCAGAGGTGTCTCAGAGAAGCCTGCCAAGAGCTAGTGTCTAACATAAGGCTAGAAGCTTTTCCTACAATTACCACATGAAGGCAGAAAAGGTTATGCTGCCATAACCATTTACAATATACTGAGAATAGTCACTACTACTGCAGAGATCTGCAGCTAGAAAAATTATTGTCCTGCAATCATTCTTGGTTAACCCTGGGAGGGGAAAGTCCCATAAATATTTCAATAGTATAGTGTGAATAGGTCATGATTGCGGGGGAGAAAGCTGGAGAGGTAGGGAATTCCTAAAGTAGGAGCTTATCTTACTAGCTCTAAAAACTTAGTACCTTCCAAAGATTTTATTCTTAATTTGAAGTAGTCAAAATGTCCATTTCATGAAGCTATGCAGATAAATAAAAAGAAAGCCAGTGGCCACAGCCAAGAGTCAACTAGAATTAAACTGCTGGATAGACTGAGGACCAAGGACTTGAGTGAAAGATGTTAGATTTAGGTTCTGACCTTTGCTGGCCTTTGCCAGGTCTTTGCTGTGTAGCCTAGGGCTAGCCTATCAACCCCTCTTGGCCTTCCATCTTCAGTAAAATAGATATAATGAGAAGGCAAATGCAACCATGCCAAAGCTTCTCATAAGTTGCTTTTGTAATAGATGTAATTATTTGTAATAAAGAACATGGCTGCTCTGCAGATCTTCAAGCTGACAATACCTACTGCTGGTATGCCTTGCTCATAGGCTCTGTCATGGTTTGATTGCAAAACTATGGCACCAAGTTTGTATGTTGAAGGCTTGAATCCCAGTGCTGCCATGATCAAAGATGAGTCTCTGATCAGGTCATTCCCACTGGTCAGTATAGAAAGACAGTGGCTATAAGCAGGTTGCTTTTCTACAGAGCATCCTGATGTGTGCAGAACAGAATGCACCTGGGGTCTTGAGATGGCTCTGGCCCAAAGCCTTTATGTATCTGCATGATACATAAGTGCTATATGTGTGCAGGTTACAGAATAAAATGGCTTCCTGCTCTGAGCATGGAACATACCACTGGGGTACCAAAATTCTAAGGATAGGGATCTCTGAGCTGAGTATGCTCAGACCAGCATGCTTTAAGCCAGGTATAAGCTCTAGCAATCATGAAATGGTCCTGGACTGTCTCCCCTAACCCCTCAGCATTGAGTAGTCTAGTCAGAGACAAGATGAGTCATATCCCTTTCATGACTTGCTTTCTCATCAGTCACAGAGAGGCTACATCTGCCCAAGTGAGACCTACCCATAAGAGCACTTTGAAGAGACTGAAGCAGCAAATAAATCACTGATAAATGCCCAGTCTCACTCATAATTAGTGAGGTGTAAAATAAGAAGTAAGGATACCCCACTGCTCACTAGTGGGAAAGAAAACATGAGAACAATATAGAGCACAATGAGCAAGGGGGCTCAGGCACCAGCACAGTTGGAAACTGGAGGTGGCTATTTTGAAGGGTAATTGACTAGTCCTTCACAGGTTATAATCAGGTGCCTTTTGAGAGTGTACTGCCAGAAGTACACAGAGTTTTATGTACAAAGCTATTCATTCTTTAGGGAAGATTGCAGAAAAACTTAGGACTAGGGGCCGGGAGTGCAGTCTACATGTATTTAGCAAGTGTAGCTTTTGATCTCAGAACAGGGGCATGGGGAGAGAGACAGAAAGAGAGAGAGAGACAGACAGACAGACAGACAGAGAAAGAGATAGAGAGAGAGAAAGAGAGAGAGAGAGAGAACAGTATCTAACAGAGAAAGTCAGAGAACCAAAGAAGCATGAATAAAATGATACATATATTGGCACAACCCAGAACCTACTCACATAGTGAAAGGAGGATGGTCGATTTATTGTTTCAAGGGGTCCATGGAAGGTATTTGATCTGTATAAACACATATGAACTCTGGACCCTACCTCTCAAACTTGCAAACTCTGATGTAAAGAGTACATGGTACTCACCTTTCTAACCATTTCCACTGCAGAAAACGGTCGAAATACATGCTATCCAGGTACTCATGAAAGGGGTCTCCCTTCAAGAAGTCATGTACAGACCTAATCCAGAGTGACAGAAAGATCAACATGTTATAATTCCCATCTTGAAGGAGCTAGACAGAGTCTAGTAGGTTACTGTCTTCAGACTGCAAATGAGCCAGGCCTGCAACAGATACTCCACATCTGGCCAGAGGCCTGTTTGTTCTGCCAATGGTTGCTTAAACTGCATTGACCTTGTAAGTATTCATAATGTTCCTGCCATGGGCTAGCATTTGTTTCTGGTCCTGTGGTAGAGCAGAGAGTATGGGGGTGAATACCAAATAGGGACATAAACAGCAAAACACAAAGATTAAGTTAACAATCCCAGAGGTGAGCTATACTTAATTAGAACTCAGGAACAACTCTCTAAAGAGGCCATGAGGTGAAGTGGGACTACATGCATGCAGACTTGCTGAGTTAGGGGACAGGCTAGGATTCAAAGGTGGGAAAGAACAGAGTGAGCTACAGTCCCCAAGAACCTAGGCTTCGGGTTTGGTCTGGAACCAGGAAAATCACTGAAGATAGGAATCTGTCCAGGTAGGCATGGTTTGCCTACGTAGTTGGTGGTCTGTCAGGTAGGTAAAGGTCAGCCTAGGTAGGAAGAAGGCTGCCCAAATAGGCATGATCTGCCCAGGTAGTCAGGGCTCTTGCCTAGCTGGGCAGAGCTGGAGTACAGAACACTTACTGAGCACAAGCAGAGAAGAGTTCTTTGCAGGGCCTCTGCAGGAGCTTCATCTCTGTCTGGGAGACCAGGTCCTGGCCAACTTGGGCAATGAAGACTGGGGACTGGAAGAAGGAAAGGACTGTTGTCAATGAGGAGGAAGGAACAGGGTGGCTGAAGCTTCCTCACAGATGCAGGATCAAAGACAAGCCAGATGCCACGTGATAGTGGAAAGATGTAGCTACCTGTCCCGATATGTGACCACCTGCCCTCTGTCTGCCTCCCCCTACTCCATCCCTCCCCACAACTGGTGTAGGATGTATAGAAAGTATTTAGTGTGGCGGGGAGGTTATTAGACTGGATAGCAGTGAATGAACCCAGATTTAGTGTGGTTGTGTGACTTCATTTAGGTCGCCCACCATTTTAAAGTCTTGTTTCCTCAGCTTAACCCATCTCCTCTCTGCCACTCACCCTTGACTCATCAGCTGGATATCAAGGTAGAATTTTAATAAATTACAGGGAAATTTTGAAAAGACAACAAGAAGTAGACTCCAAAAAATGCAATATGAATTATGAAAGGCTTTCTTTCTCTCCCAGCTATAGAGATGTAGCTATAGGGCTGGGAGACTTGCTAAGGTCCATTAGACAGAGCCTACTGGGAGGCAATCCTGACGGTAGTGGGGAGGGTCAGTGGGGAGTAGCTGATACATCCCTATTGAATAAAGGCAGTGTTTCACTCTCTATTTCTCATGGTTTCAAATGCTGCAATCCATTCCTTCTTTCCTAGCCCTGCCCTTTGTGTGGGCTCATCCCCCTTGAAGACTCTCTCCTCAGCTGAATGTAGAGGCCCCAACCCTGGTGTAGATGGACTATGGTGTGGCTACAAAGCCATTTCACCAAGCTTCAGCTGGAGCACATTTTCTATCATGAATTATCTTAAGTGGTGGCAGCTCTCTCTGCCTTTTTTGCACACTGCCTAGTTCCATTCCTATCCTCTTCCTATTCTCTGCTCTAAGAACCTACAGCTGTGTCCTGCTGGAACCTATACCACAACTAGGGACTTATGCTACTTTTCACCTCTGACCTTGCCAACCTGTGGCTCCATCTCTTTCTATGGAAGTAGGGAGGTGCGCCAGGGATGTTGAAGTCTCCTTTGAACCTTGAAAATTGATGAAGTTTTAAGTTGCCTCCCTAAGAAGCATATAAATTTGGTTGGGGGATTCTGTCAGTTTAGTTTCTTCATAGCCAGTAACTGCAGGCAATGAACCAAGCCATTAGTTGTACACAAATCTCCCAGGAAAAAGACAGCTGGCTGGTAGGCCACTTGAATTTGGGGGCGGGAGGGTTGTGCCTGGCAGATGGCTGCTCTACTGAATAAGTGTCAGTTATTGAGGTGACAGAATGCCTTATGTCATGGTATGATCTTGCTCTAGTGTTGGTCAGCAAAGACAACATAGAGATGCTGACTCTGGGAGCTGCAGGGAAGAAGGAAGGCATTTTTTTCCGCTTCACAGAGGAGGGACCCAAGTGCCAAACTGTCTGGATGAGGTACATATTCTGTCAGGATCCATCTGTTTTTTACCTACACAAAATCCAGATTATTCCTTATCAGCCCAACTGATAGCTGGCATGGGAAGGGTAAGAGAAAAAGGTAAATAAAGCCAGTGTGCTCTTGATCTCAAGTGTTATTCTCCAGTTAGACATATGAATGCTGTACCATAAGATGACACCCTGCCAAAAAAGTTCCAGTGTCCCTTGGTTATATATAGTGATATACAAAATGAACTAAAACCAGAACTTTAAGTTTTCTTAGCTTCTGACTAGTCTTTATTTACAAATGAAATTTACTTATAGATCTAACATTGAAAAGAAATTTAAAACAACAACAACAACAACAAAAAAAAAACCTATAAAAATGTTTTACATGCACTAAAACACAACCCTGATCAATAATGAATGGAAGCTCTGACATGCATTACCTAATCTATAATGTCTCTGTGAGGTAGGAACTACTATGCCATCCACCTTGCAGAAGATGGATGCAGAAAGGTTAAGTAATTTTCCCAAGATCACTCAGCTAAGAAGTAGCAGAGAAGGGATTTAACCCAGGTTGGATTACTTTCAGTTGAGATCTCACTGGAATTAAGGATCATCCTGTCCCCTCCTCCATCTCACAGTAAGACCTCGGCCCTTGAGGCTCTGCCAGTGTCAAAAGCAAGATGCTGTATGGTCAGCCTCTAAGTTCATCTGGAAAAGACGTTTGGGAAGATGAAGTCAGAGACAAAACAGCACCTAGCCTGAAGCCTCTTTACCCCTCTTCAGCCTCTGCCTGTAAATGAGGGCAACAAACAGGGATAAAAGGGACAAGTGAAGTCCAGAGGTGACCCATCTGTGCACATGATATTAGGCAAGCCTCACACTTGGGTTTGGAACCCACAGGCAAAGAGCCCTGGTGGGGAAGCCAAAGAATAGACAGATAATAATGTCTTGGCTTAGTAACTATGGCTTTAAATTCAGCTTCTGGTTCAACATGAAGAGATTAGGTGATTCAAACTAAATTCTCTTTCCAGTGACTCCAAGGAATGAATTTTGCCAACAAGAAGAGACAGATGTAGACTAGAGACCTAAGCCTATCAGAAGACTCAGACAGAAGATGCCAAGTTAGTGGACTACTCTCCTGGGAACCTTCCTGCTATGTTCCTCATTGTCTTTTCTGCTTGCCCATTACTCTTCCTGAGGCTTCCTCTACTTATTCTTTGAAATCGTAGCAGTTCCCAAAGCCGAAGTTTACCAGAACATACGTCTGCAGGAAGAGAGACAGAAAAAATTCATGCAAAAGCTTTTCTAGGCACTACCACACAGAGAAAAACTTTCCATTTTATTCTGAACCAGGGGAGGCCCCTGACAATGGGTGGCCTTGTCCTTTCATTTCTGTCTAGGTCTCTCCCACCCTTGTATCCTTACTTCCTCTGATATCCACTCTGTGACCCTAGGCTTCAACATGCCAACTAGGAACACAGCCACTGCAATGCTCAAGTGTGGCACTGATGGCCAGTCATGCATGATGCAGGGACAATAGTTCTTGGAATGTGAAGAATAGATGGCTAAGGTAGTGGTATGATAGGATAGAAGAGTTGGAGGATCTTGAAGCTGTGTAGGTAAAGCAATGGATCTGGAATGAGTACATGCTTGGTTGGGGTTGGCTTGGAGACTGAATGTATGTGGAAAGTTTTAAAACCTGGCAATTTGGCCAGAGAGCCCCATCCCTAAACAGCAGCATGATGTGATGGATTCCAAGCTCCTTTCTAATAGTATGTAAGAATGTGACTGTGGCCTTGAAGAAAAAGTCCTGTTAAGAGGCCCATGGTCATTGGAAAAGGAGGCATAGCAGATTATACATATTTTGATCAATGCTGCTTGTATGGTATTGTCACATGTAGTGTGTGCAGAAGCATAAGAACAGACATACATGCAGACACCCAAGCTAAGAGCCAACATATGCTTTGCTTCAACATAAGGAAACATGCCCCTGAGGAGCTTAGTGCTCATTAGCAATGGTTCTGCCAGTGGACAAAAGGTCAGCTGAGGAGACTGTCTACTCTATCTCCAGATGCAAGTACTTATATTTTAATAATGTGTATATTTTCATATGTGGGCAGCTGACATTCCCCATGTAAACTATTTGCAATCTCCCAGCTTTCTCAGGAAAAGTAAAGCAGCAAAGAAGCAAGACTCTGAAACAAAGGGGTCCCCACGCATTCCCTTCTTTCTAAACAAAAAGACTGGTTTGTCCTGCAGGACAAGGATGAAAGCCCTTGTTTTGGGGATGCTCATTTACCCTCAAGGAGGAGAATAAGGAACAGACACTCCCACAACTGTATCCAGAATGCCCTAGACATGAGAAGATTTGGATTAGCTACAGGAGGACTGGCTGCAGCAGTGGGAATCCGGCACCCAAGCAGGAGCCACAGTTAAAGGCAGTGACTATGGGCCCCAGGGGAAAGGGCTAGCTTGAGAGCAGCTGGTCCTAAGCAGAGGCCAGTATATGCTGGGCCCTGCTTCTGAGTTTCCTACCCATTTATATTTCTGCTGCTCTTGGAAAGGATGTTGTATAAACCAGAATCCATGGCCTCAGGGTAATAGGCATGTGTGTTGAGACTTAGAGAGCTGGGGAAAAGCAGGTTGGTGTTTTACTCCAGACCCCCAAAATGGAGTATTACATAAGTTTCATAAGAGACCAAATATTCAGGAAATGGTGGCCTTCACACTTGATTCAGGTCTACCTCAATTCCAAATGTGAAATCTCTCCACTCAAGAAACAAATGGATGAGGTTCTAAACATGCTTGTTAAATAATGGTATGCGCACATACATGTTTGGGCTAGGAGTCACTCAGTGAAAGAGTGCTTGCCTGGGAACTGCAAGGTCCTAGGTTCCAAGTCTGACACCACATTTTCGGGAAAAAAGAATTCCATGTTTGGACACCTTATGGGGTCATCTAGTCTACCTCTGCTCTGGTGACAAGCTGGGACATTTTTTCTCAGTCAGAACTAGATGAAGGGTCTTGGTGAATTTCAGGCAGATACTTGGGATTGAAGGCAAGGAATTACTGATCTGTTTTGACAAACATTTCTTGGGTCCAGATACTCTCCAACCCAGTCCAAGTACCACCATGTCTCTTATGGGTGTATCTGATGATACAGAAGTCCCTGCCTCCAGCTTTCTAATAATTTCCCCTTTAAGTAGTTGGAAGATACCATCTTGTCAGTTGCTAGAACTGGAGATGAGGTGGGGAAAGCAGGGAATGGAAGCAGCATATGATGAGGACTTGTTCCAACCTGGACTCCTGACTCAAAACTGCACATGCTGTCCAACCACAACCAGAAGACAAAAGGAAAAGTCGGTAGACTACAGCTCATGGAGAACATTTCCTTGCTTGGGGGCTGACTTAAGGCCTGGCTGACAGGAAGAAAATATGCCATTCTTTCACCTTTTTAATCAAAACCTCAGGGCCACGTGTTAGAGCTGCTGCTACCTGCCCTGAAGTCTGGCTAGGCCAGTTCCTCTCTGTCTATGGTCAGGCATGATATACAATCTCAAGCTCCAAACAAGAACAGATCAAAGGA